ACGATTTCATTAATCGAAATATCTTCTATCGTTATTTTTATTAAGCAACGATTATACAAATTTGAGCATCAATGTTAATTACAGCTATGACTTATTTAATTAATGGTTAACATAATAGTAACTATTTGCTATATCGTATGGTTGTAAAGCGCTTACCCATAGTCACATGCCCGCACATTTTTTTTGCCATGTCGGAAATAATTGGGAAATGAACATATTTAATAGTCCAATGAGAGTCAGGGCTGATGACAGACGTGCGCCATTACTAAATTACTAATAACTGTCACGGCGATAACAATAAAAAAAACAAAGACTTTTATGGCTTATACGTATACAAACAACTAATTACAAATGCATATAAAATTTTAAATTTTTTTTTTCGTATAAACATTAGCACCACCAAAAATTTAACAAAAAAGGCGGTTATCGCTCATTGGTAAATTTGGATGCAAAGATTTGAGGTAAAAACTACCAGGATATGTAGAGGGGACTGCTGAGAACACGTCTATGCAAAAAAAAATAATTGGTGTAACCATGACGATATTAATATCCGCCTTTACTATTAGTATCAACGGTCGGTACGCTCCTTACGAACAAGTGCTAATGCATCACGTCAATAATTATAATAAGAAAAGTCTATGCTAGAATCCGGTTTTGTTATCAGCATGTAGTTTGTAGTATCACTGAATATCAAACAAGAAATAATAATAATAATAATAATAATAATAATAATAATAATAATAATAAATTCACTGGAATGATCGCCTATAAAAGTTACTTATTAAAGGATTTCGAGGTTAGTACAGGGGGGAATCTACCTATTACTATTAACGTTTGATAAACAAAATCACTCGATAATACGAACTGAAATAGAAGAATCGTATTCATGCGTAAAACTATCCTATTAGTATCTGATATTCATCGCCGCATCGATAATATCAACCGCCTACATAAGTGGCTAACGGAACGAAAACGCATAGAAACGTACGAGCGTTAATTTTCCAGCTGACGTTTTAACCCGCAAATCATACCAACGAATATTTGCATTTTTTTTAGTATTGACTTGATCATTGCCTCCGGTGATCTGGTTACTATAGATCACGAAGTTGATGATGATATTGTCAAGGAAAAGTTAAGATTAATGTTTAAGCTTCAAAAATTGTGTTATGAAAAGAGAGAGAATGTGTGTGGTGTGTGACCATTTGAGCATTATATAGGGAAAAGCAAGTATTCTATGATGTATTAAGTGGGCTTGCGGTATTGAATAAGACAGTTTACTATATTCCTGGCAAGTAGCAATGACGGCGGGGGTTTAATAATTTATTGGTTGCCAATACTCATATTTACAATACCATAGGCAATCACGATCCATCAGATTCTTTCAATATGTACGCATGTGATGAACTTGATAAACAGAGCATTATGGCAAGTGCAGGTTCGGACTTGGTCCAGAATTTCCATAATAAAGTGATCAATATAGGTATTAGTAGTTCTAATTGCATTTAGCTAATAAGACCGGATATTAATTGACATGGAGCTTACTAGCACCAGGACTCAGTATGGTTGGATTTGGCGGTTCAGGAGACGCTGTATTAAAAAATGAGCCATCCGAAGTTGTCTGGCCAGGTGAACGGATATCGACTATACATTGCATAGATAGGCAAATCGGTCTGTGTCACTGACTTTCATTTAAATGTTAGCATATCCCTTGGACACTGAGTCGTTGCTCTCCAAGCAACTACCGATACTTTTTTCCAAAGTTCCTAAACAAAATGACATTATGCTGGTTACTCATGTCGGTCCAGCTGATATATCAACAACTGATGTCAATAAGTACCCAAATGAATTGGAAACAAGGATAGCTGCAGGGAGGTAATATCACAACACGACACTAGCGGTTATTACATTTCTGCAGTTAACTGTATATATATTAATATATTGACACATGATCGTATTTATTATCTCAGCCCTGCTATATTTGAACATATCGCCAACGAATCTCCGAGAAAAACGCCGGATGATGTAGATAGACTAACAATAACGGTCAATGTTCATGGACATTCTCACTTTCCCTTTGGATTCTCACACATAGGGCGTACAATGATAGTGAACCCTGGTCCGCTTCGGGATGGACGGTTTGCAATCCTGACATTGGAAAGGCGTAGTTTAAATGAAGTCACTTCAGGGATAAGATTCTCAGAAGCATTGCAACGCGAGCAAGCGTGGGTCGTTGCTGACGTTGAATTTTATTGTATTTAACTTGGCGTAATAAAGCAATCACGTATTTGTTATCGTGTTTATTTGATTGTAGAGGATTGAGACTTTGTTTTCGATTCGTGTTTCTAGCGAGTCAAACATTAGTCAACAGTGTTCATCATCCGGAATAATCAGAGTTGCTGGCATGGTTGCTTTTTCGTTTGATGTGGTTTTCTATTGATTTTTATTACATTCGATAATAGATCATACGTTGTAGTCGCGTGCTTTATGTCTCCAATGAGGATCGTGATTAATAGAATCCACACCATTTTTTGCCACTTTTGTTGTCAGCACCTTAACCGTTTAAGCGTTCAGAGTTATAAGTAGTATTCTCTTCTAAGTGTGATTCGCTGTGACTTTTAATTTAAATAGACATCTTCGAACACTGCGGTGTGATATGTTTCGCTCGAAAAGTACTTATCAATAATATTGCCCTCAGGATAGTAGACGCTGTTTTCATACATTGGTCGATTATTTTTAATATCCGTTAATTGAGTGAATTATAATTGGCCGTCCACAATTGTATACATATTTAATACGTGTTCTCGTTGTTAATCGTGTGTTTTTAAATTCCATCTTAGCTCGGAATACTACGAGTAAGAAAACTTTTCCGTCCTAAAGCATAGACATCGTAACCCCAATAGCAATGGAGAATGGATGCCAACCTTCCACTTGCGTGTAAATTCACAATTTGTGAAACTCTTCTTGATTTTCTATCTCGAAGCAAACTTGCGTGCAGGACATTAGCCAATATTTCGGCTGCAATAAATATCATATATTTGTCCCTTGTGTCACTGGTAACAAAAAGACATTTGGACAGAAGCGAAATGCTTTAATCTAGATTTTCTTAACTTAGTGCGTATAAAACATTTTTGTTCGTACAAGCTTCAAAACGATAAATATAATTGACTATCTGACAAGTAAACTATTAACCGTCTAATCCGCAATTTCTGTCTATAAAGATTAATATACAATGCTGAACCACATTGCTTTGTACAACTCACACTTTGTAAACATTACTGTCTCTGTTTTGCTTTTGACATGTCATTAACAACCGATCATGATGGCCTATGCAGGTCAAATTGAGTTATTTTTTGATAAACGAAAAATAAGAACAGAAAAAATTGTTCTCATTCTGTTAAATTACCTCTCCGAAATTCCTTAACTTCGCATTACAATGAAAGGAATTCCTCCTTGCGGTTGTTATATTCATCAAATCGTTTGATAGCATATCCCATGTAGTCAAAATCTATTTCTGATAGACGAGCTTGAACCTATTTCACGAATGAATAAATAAATAACAGATCCACGGTCTCGTATCGTTTTAAAAACCCAGGCGTTATTTCATGTAAATCAAGACTCACCAGAGCCCACAATCCCCAGTAGCAATGCGATGCTAATGCAAATTTATTTACCACGCTGTATAACTTTTCAATTTCCTCTCTGGTTGGGTCATGGTCTATTTTAATTAATAAATTTGCCGATTTAGTTAAGGATAACACGACGCATAAAAACGATCACATATTAAGTGCGATACCAGGATGAGCAGCCGATAAATAATTACGCAACCAAATCATCTGGAAGTCCTTGTTTGGGTATAAATTGAAATCACAATCAAATCCTAGGGCGGACAGATAATGAGTTTTAGTTCCAGCCCTCTTCACGTAGCTTTGATGTTATGAACGAAAACATCTCAAGAATATACCTGCGAACTCGTTGAAATGATTCCCTATATCGAAACCTTGGTAGTTATAACCCGCATATTCAACGTCTATGAAAGATATTGTATTTCTTTCTTCGTTATAAATTAAGTTCGCATACAACAAGTCGCAATGACAAAAAACGATAGGCGAATCTAACTCCTCGAGTCTTTTTTGGAGTGATTGTATCTGCAACACAAAAATGAAGGGTTATGCATTACTAAATAAAATATTTTCAATTCGTTGATACTCTTAATCTTTTGTAGCATATACGACAGTGAAAAAGTAATAACAACGCCTGTTTACCTCTTTCCTGATTTTAGTCATGTTAAAGTTAGCTTGAAATGTTGCATTAACCAGGGGATTTTCGTACACCTCTGGAACTAATCAAGGCGGTAGTTTCAACAAACATACGTATCGTCTTTCTAGACTTTTCAATCAGATCGCTTACTAAGCTTACCTTCATCCAACCATTTCCGCAACGTTGTAAATAAGGTAGGTATTCTCTCTCCAGCCAATTGCACACCATGCCATTTGGCAAGATTTTCCGCGATCAGTTTACTTTTATCCGGATCAGACATATCTGGCACAGAGATAGCTTTGCCCGACAGGAATCCATACACAAGACCATTAGTAAATTTACCATAGAGTTCTGGGCCAAGACCTAGTCCTGAGAGAACAACAAAGTTCTGCGATTGAAGAAATATACGGGATCACGAGGTGTATGGAGACATATCACGAAAGTATGATAAAACAACGAGAGAACCATTCGAACAAAAAACTTTGATTATATACCCTTATTTCTTGTCTTCGATCAATTATAAGTTCGGATCGATTACCGTATACACGGACCAAGACTGAGCGCGAGAGTCTTCTGTTTGTGCATTTGACAACTGGGCATGCGTTCATAGTACAAGTGTCCTTACTATATTTAGTCTAGTCTCTTCTATATTGATAATTTCGCTTACTTTATTACTTACGTTTGTTAGTTATTCCATCCGTGAACTGAACAAAGTCTAAATCTTTATCCATCCAGTCAGGGAATAGGGATTGGATAACACGCCTTGCATCTCCAAAGAGATCAGAAAATGAGACAGTAATGTCCCGTGTGGGTATCGCTGTATCGATATAATGGTCCAAATGCTCGAGTGAAGTTATATGGGACATACTGAAACAAAACCTGATGAAGTGGACATGGATACGTACAAACAAAATTTTGGGGATATTAAAAATTGTCACTATCGTACTACCGGGTATTAAAAAGATCGTTCTGACCCCGTGTGGCTGGAAATAATAATGCTCAAAATCTAATGAGTGAATCCTATCTTAATAAATGTTTGAACGAATATTTCCAAATATGATTCTTCAGAGGGAGGCCAAGTGGTGAATAATTCACACTCTGCATAGCATTCGTTTAGTCGGTCTTTGATGCTCTGTATAGATGCTCCTCGACTGGTAAAATTCCAAGTTAACAGTATTCCACCACTGTAGAACGCTTGCGGCAGATTGAGGTTATGTCTCACGGATGAGGAAGTTCAAACATTCTTCGCGAATTGCATAGGCTTACAATGAACGGTCTTCGAGTAGGCTCACAGAAGAAACTTTTACGGACGGATACATTTGTTTTGTTTAATATCGACTATTCTCAAAGATAAGGGTAATATATTCAATTGTTGAAAAGAGTATCATTATTTTACGAAAGAAAGTCAATCTAGCACGGCTGGTTTAAGATTATATGAACCTCTCATTATCTATGCGCTATAATATGATATCTGCTATATCAAGTATATTTTATATAATTGGCATATGGTGCTTTTTGGTTATAGGCCTTATCAAGAGCTTGCTAACAAAGTCCGGCATATCAAGACAACTTTTATCAATATTGGTAAGTTATACCCGTTATATCGAGGGTCCGTTATATCAAATTTTCACTGTGCAGTTAGATTTTTTATGATAAACGTTTTGGTGTTTTCTTCCTCTGCTGTATTGTAAATAGATAAAAACAGCCTAAACTGGCGCTTTAGCGATCGCTTTGTTGTGAATAAACGTTCCTCGCGATAGTTATGAACATTTTTGGTAGATACTCGTCGAAATGTTGAGGTGGAGTGATGTTATATCTTTATTTATAATGTCGAGTTAATTACCGCGTGAAGAGCTGTTTGCAATTACCCTAGAATCTGCACGAGACTGCTAAGCCCGTATTCCGTTAAACTGCTAACGATGAGTTGCTGGTGGTCAGCAATGCACTAGATTTTAGTCAAACAATAAAAATAGTTAAAGCGAACAATAATACTTGATAGTTAATAAGGCTAGACTGTCACATGTTTTCACATTCTTTTTCGTTGCCTTGATTGGACCGATTCACTCTGTCGAACGAACACCATACTTGCAGTCTTTGGTAGTTCACCTAATCATAATCATTTGTTAATGACCGAAATAAAATAATTAATAAGAGAATGCTATTCCATTTGAACTGTATTTCGAAACCCAGGATTTAATACCAATGACTTTTGGCTCGGCAATATTTCCATCCATAATATTTGGATACGCAGGTTTTAAAATTTGTTTTCATTGCTCGCCTAGATATGAGAATTTACCGTACACCTATATTATATTAATGCGTGTAAACTATTCGACAATCATTACAACACACAATGTTGACAACGTAAAGCACAGTATTGCCATCATTCTAATTAATATTACAGGTTTGGCATGACTAATCGTAATGCAAAAGTTATTTGTATTTGTATTATAAACGATTTAGATGCTTACAAGTACTTAACAGTGGTCTTACTCTCAAGCAACATTACTCTGGATAATTTGAATTAACCAATGGTTTATCCGAGCTTCCCATGTTTACATAGTTCACGTATTTCGGATGTTTTATGTTATTTGTATTAGATAATTGGAAATTTGTCCTACAAATAATAGCCATCAACTAAAGGTCGAAGATTACGAAAGCCTTTTCTCAGGCATAATCCAACGGGATTACGTGGGTACCAGAAAATTCTTATGAAAAAGATTCGTTCTATTACTAATTGATCGGTAGACTATTACATATGTCCAATTCTACATTTTCTACCCAGCTACGGTCTGTCGCTTGTTAACTTGACGTGGTCACACGATAATCACAGGTAAATATCTGGATATTAATTAACACGATTATCTGTTGCGCTAAATGTCATCATCTAACCCTTTGCTTTATGTCGGATAATTACGGGGTAATCATGTGTAACACAACCTATTCGTAACTGTAAAAAGAGGTTTAGGAACATCTTTATCCAAATAAAGAGCAGTAGCCTGTCTATTTTAGAGACGTCGCATGACATTTTGCATAGAAAACGAGATTCTATGCTGGTTTTTTCTGTCAATCTTGTGAGAATATGGTTAAATAAAAACACAAATGTTTATTTTAAGTTTCATCGACAGGTTTCGGTGGTACGAAATATTTTTTATTATATAATAATAAATAAATAGTATTCGATAACAACAAAAAGATAAAGGTATCACATGTGCAATGGAAGAAATTCCACGATAAGAGAAAGTCTATGGCGCAACCAGTAAAAATACTAAAATATGTGCTGAATCAGTTTCGTGTGACAGAGATTAGTCTCATGTGTACAATGCTATATAGAGTTAAACTTCTGACAATTTGACATTGTAACGGAGAACCCAGTTTCAACTCTGCAGACTGATAACCCTCTTTTCGTTCCAAACCACTGGAGATAACAGAAGCATCAAAGGACAAAGAAACTTGGATAGAATTTGAACATTGACCGAAATATGGGCGATTTTTCTTGCTTTTTTTATGGAACGTTGATTTTCACTCAGATATTGAGGCGCGTAATTACTGAAGGACAGTCGTTGAAAGAGTCCGATGTTGCGTTTGGACCTGTTATTCCCGCCGTGTTGAAGGTATGAAACACGAACGTTTGTTTATACTGATAATCGAACATACACAGCAAGTTCTAAGCAGATACGCTGTATGGATAATAGAACGTTGATACTATGGGAAAGTTTAAATGCTATCGTAAGGGTATACATGATTATACAACGTCGTATATATTACGGGCGGAATAGCATGTCTTCATTACAATTAGTCATCAGGCAAAAAATGTCCTACACTGGCTAAAACATTATCTGTCTTACTAGGGATACAGACGGCATAAAGTCTTCAACGCTGTTTATCCAGCAATTATAAAAGGTTCGGAAAACGATGAGACACGAGGAGTGCTTGTGAGTGGATTGACATCACAAGATATATTGCGATTAGATTTATTCGAGGGCAATGTAAGTCAGAATACTCGCTGATGATATTAATTTAGATAGTTTATGCGGTGATTGAGTAATTTATAATCAACGTTTTCCGAAATCTTAACATTTTCCATCCCCGTAATAATCACTTTCCCGTATCTCAGCAATATGTTCGAACAGACGTCGAAGTTTTAATAATAGAGGAAGCAAAGCGCAATTCATTCCATTCCGATCCCGATCTTGTAGACACTGATGCAGACATTATCTACACGCCCCCACCCAGACCACGTCTCGTCCCGGCACAAACATATGTTTGGAACGATGCTCCTGCTCTGTTAGAGAAGGACGATTGGGATCCAGAGGAGTTCAAGACTAACATGAAGAGATGGTTGGAAGAAGAAGAAGAAGAGCTTGCCAGCATCAGAGTTGAGATGGAAAAAAATAAAGAGTCATGAAACATACTAGAAATATTAGACAAGGCAAAGTATCTAGATGAGATGGGTGAAGCACGACAAAAATTATATAGAAGGAAAGGGTAACAGTATATTTAATGTATATGATGTAAAATAAATACAACAGTATATTAATTACGCAATCTCACCAATCTATGGTATCCACTTTATGCAAGATTAGATTTACAACTCGGTCCGAGTTTACTTAATTGCAAGATTATAATCCATTTCGTCAAGGTGTTTCGCGTAATAAAAAACCGCGATGATTGAATAGAACGTGTCTGAAGTATCGCGAAAAATGCAAAGTACAGTCAACACTCAATCCTTTTGTGAGGAATGGCTTCCAAGAAAAAAGTGGTTGAACATTGCTCCAAGAATTTGATTGGAATGTTAATTTCCTTTATATTGAGCTGTAATGCCATCTGCGTTACGGCAAGACGTGTTTATAAGTGATTTGGTCATTTGAGTCGTTGCGTGCCATTTGGCCGCTTGGAAGCAAACGACTAAAGTTGAACTTACGTATCGAGAATTTCGGTAAAAATATTCACGTTAAAATGGTACGCTGTAAATTAATATGTTAGTAGGTTTTTCGTATCAATATCAACCCAAACAGAGCAATCATCTGGCACGTGATCGTTTTCCGCGTTATTAATGACAACGCAAAGTAGTTTGTGAATGCATGTCCGCATTAGTTCTGCATTACTCTCGCTAATAGTCATGAGCGGAAGGATATTGCGTCAAAGACGCCAAAGAAATCCATACTTATCGACAGCCAGGTATGCAAATCGAATACCACACTGTCAGTATTCTCCATCCGCTTTATGTTAGACGCGTGTCCGTTTTCGCGTCGAATAATAACAATAATCGCGTATCTTCTGTTTCTATTAGCAACGCCCACTATGTTGGCTATGTCGAAGATGACGAATCCGTCGAAGCAATAATGAAAAAGTTTGAAGAACTAGAGAGACTTCAAGTTGAGTTTGCTGCAGCCAAAACTCGAGATTCCGCTCATAGTCCCTCGCAGGCTCAAACGGAAAATGAAAACCTGACGGAAGCCCAATTAGAAGAGGTTTTCAAGAGGACTTCAATATTTACTATCAAGTCTGCTACTTTCTTACCTTCTACCGAAGATGCTGACGATTTAGAATTGTGGAGGATTGAAGTTGAAGATGGAAACACGGCCGAATTCGAGGAAGAGGAGTGGGTGATTTAGTAAAATGTCTTACATGGCATTGTATTTAAAATCTTATTATTATAATTTAAATTTGCTGTTGTAGTGATTATTTGGCGGTAGACGATGCATTCTGGGATGAGGAATTCGGAACTAGTAGTAGTAGGCAAAGACGAAGCAAAGCGGATAAATCAGAGAGACGGCGTGGAATAGGAAGGGAGATTATATTACAACGATATAAAGTAATGCAAGTGAAGCTGCAAGATAGGAATGGGAACTACTTTACGGTGAAAAAGAAAGTGAGGTACGGCAATTCATTGGAAAAACTAGTCGATATAAATACGCGCGCGTGTATGAGATGTAATGAAAAGATTTTTTGTTATTATTAGTAATGTCAATCCAGCATTGCCTACATATATAAGAATACCATCATTGCCTGTCCCTCTTTCATGGGCGCATACTATTTTACCGCCAACAGATGAGATAAAAGACGGCCATGGATCAAGGTCAGGATCAAAAACGGACATGTATTTGGAATTGCTTGTCATATATTCTGCTTCATGCGTAATCTGATATTTTTTTATTGGTTGTATTTATAGGTACTATGAAGCTGATATATTGACAATGAATCTTCTACGTCTTGGAAAGAACTTTCAAGCAGCTTTGATAGATCCGCCATTAATTCTTCCAGGCGAATCTCCATCACCACACAAGATCACGCTGTCTCAATTTGTAAGCAGCTGTCGTGCCTATGGAACAAATCTGTTTATATATCCACTAATAAACTTCCTTCCTCATAGGCTTCATTAAATATAACAAAGATTATCCCTGTAGGATTCCTTTTCATTTGGGTTGAAAAAGAGTATCTTCCGGATATAATTCAGATTGCCGACAAATGGCACTTTCGATACGTGGAGAATTTTTGTTGGGTTAAGAAACACATAAATAATCAAATTGTCAAAATGCCGTATAAATATTTTCGTAAATCAAAGCTGACGCTTCTGGTTTTCAGAAAGGTGAGAGGAAACAAACGAGTCATGTTAGAGAAGCGAAAATAAGTTTATGCTTGCGACTTGCAGCGGAAGTTGAATCCAACATTACCTAAAGATACTTTCGCAAGGCAGGATAACTTGTGTAGCATGTAACCAAATTATTGATTGTCTGACGCGTCATAATCTTGCTAGGAAGGCGACATTGAGTTGCGACACCAGAGGAACCCAGATTGTTGTTTTGATTTTGTTAAACCACGAACTGAAGGTGATTGTCTTCTTTTAATAAGTAGCTTATTCTGTAATTTGTTTGATTTCCCGTATTCCTTTCTCACCGCATTTCTCGTTGTCTCTTTCTCTAATCAATCTCTTCCCCTCAGATATGCTTACAGAAGAGAAACCTCGAATAATCTACGACATAATAGAAACACTGTTACCTCAAGCTGCATACAGTACTGAAAATTCAAATGGTGACCGGTTAATAGAATTGTAAGTGAGACTGTATAGGTTATTAGGAGAAGAGCTTGTGGCGGTGAGATGTAACAAGTATAGCGTGTTGACATGGTGTTTCATTTAAATTCAGATGGGGGAAGAAAGGTCGAAGACGACAAGGATGGACTAGTGTAGTGCAAAGAATATGATAATAAGAGCTATGCATAGGATGTCGGCAATGTAGAAGAGGTAAATGATGTAATGTATTGGATGACAAACTATTTATAACGGGATTGAATTAGAACGATGTGAATAGTTTTTAGTTTGATATGGTCGGGCGTATATGCGTCTTTTGCTTTATAGTTCCTTTAGAATGCAGAGATCCGGCGTTGCTGATAAGAGAATGGATTCGCGCAAACGATGCCTGGACATTCCATGAAGGTGTGTAATCATAATGAAGAATACTGTACACAAGGATTCAGACTTTTGTGCATGATCCAACTCGAGTCTTTAATGTGTACGCTTGTTCAAAAATTGTCAAAAGTCTCAAAAGTCAGGAAAACTATTTTTCAATTCAAGGTATCCTCAACGGTTGAATCAATAGTCAAAGGGGATAAAGGCATCATTTGGGGTCGGAGGGGGGGAGAAAGTGTTGAGTCGTTGTCAACTTTCAAAGCGAGTTTTAGGAGAATGGTATAGAGCGAGAGGGATTTATTGTATGCAGAGGAAACAAATTGGCACGTGGGATTTGAATGTGGGATTTGAATATGAGATTTGAATGTGCGAAGAATTGAAAGATTTTTTTTCAGACAAGTTTGTAGACCTGATTCAGTACATGTTATTGACCTTTAGCTATTGGCTAAATCACTGGTAAAACATACATCATTCAACTTTCTAAAGTCGGACGCCATTAGACAATTTTAGTCTATTGGGCGTTTGTGTGACAAAATAAAAATAAAAAAGAAGGCAAGAATGACATTGTTTACAATTTTGGGTATACAATCATTATCATAAAGAATATCAGCCCAGATCCCCCAATTGTTTCAATGTAAGACCGAACTCTCTTGTGGGAGTTTACTTCTTTCTGTTAACTGCGGAAAGCCCCTACGACTCTTGCTGAACGCCAATATTTTCTACCCGAGTCGGAGACTCTATTTTTGGGAAAATGTCACTGGAAGACCTGAGAAGGCGGGTGCTAGCAAAAAATACAGGAAAAAAAGTAGAAGTTAATCAGAGAGCCCTCATCGACAAAATCCTTGCCAGGTGGGGTAAATCTGTATAGACGTCCGCCTAACTACCAGCATACTAACCGCGAGTATTTGTATTTGAACCACAGATATTGCACAAATTTTGTAGTCTACAGAGAATTGTTGCAGAATGCAGGTTGGTGACTGGAAGCGTTTGCTACGGAAGGTTACTTCTTATTTTTCTTATTTCCTTTATTATTTGTTTTTGTAATAGACGACGCGAAGGCATCAAGAATAGAAATAAACTTCCGGACCGAGGTTGTCGGTCAGATTAAAGAACGTCCAAGTAACAGCAGCAACGAATACAACGTAATAGAGTTCAAAAACAATGGCAGTCCATTCAGTGAAAAAGATTGGGATCGGCTGAAGAAGATTGCTGAGGGAAATCCCGATGAACAAAAGGTATGATGGTATAAAGACCGTTATTAGAAAAGACTGCCAGTTTATGATTGTTCACAACTAGTATAATTTGTAGATTGGTGCATTTGGCGTTGGATTTTACTCCGTATTTTCCTTATGCGAGGAGCCCTTGTAAGTAATTATTATTATTTGTGGCCCACGTCTACTGATTGATGACATGGGGAGGTTTAATAACCCCCGTTATATTTTGATTTTAGCGTCTCTTCTGGTAGAGAATGCATGGCATTCAGTTGGGAGGACGATCTACTGATTTATAGACGTGATGAAATGGAATCAAATGTCGAATGGACAACAATTTTGATGAACACGAGAGAGCCCATGGAAGTGAGTAATGCGTTTAAGATGAATTATTGTCGTTACTGGGGTGATTCGTTTTGAGTAGACGCTTACTTTCTCGATAACAGATCCCAGATCTTGAACAATTTGGAAACTTTTTAGTCACCTCGATGGTAATAGATTTTGCCGCTAGTGCGTTACACTTTGGACTCTACTTCTCACGTCTAACATCTATGCAAATGTAGGCCTTCACCGAAAACATTCGTGAGATATCTGTAGCTGTAGACGATATATCAAAATTAAATCTCTCTAAAAAAGTAGAGGATTCGCACGCGATGGATATCTCTAAATATACGACAGGCATTTTGAGGAATGAAATGTTCCATCTCAAATCAGTCAATTTGCAACACGTAAAAATCGAAGCTACAAGCACCGTCATAACACCAAACGTAAACACAATCTCCATTCGCACGGCAGCTGGGCATTTGAATGTACATGTGACAAAAGAGTTCTCAGCAAAGATGGAACGCATCATTAAAAAGAAACCGCCAAACGAGACTGCGATTCAGATGATATTTTCCGAATTTAATGAGAACGAGAACAGCATTAATAATGGTAATATATTTAAAGATTTGGTTCCGCACACTGAACAAGGAAAGATCTTTATTGGATTTCCCACATCCCAAACTACCGGATGTTCGTTACACTTGGCTGCAAGGGTTATTCCTACGGTAAGAAAGACGACTGACACATTAGCTCCTCATATTAATTATTCTCATTAATAGTAATCTTCTTTTCAGGTCGAGCGCGAATCAATTGACTTGGCCGAAATAACCTTAGCCAAATACAATGGACAAATGTTATCGATGGCTGGGGTACTTTCTCGTATCTTGTATGACTATGAAATCAAGATGCTCTCTCCCGATTGGAACAATAAATCTGTTTCTGAGGACACAAAAATACCGCGAGCCGTGCACGCATTTAATCAATTTACTTTTTACTCTAGCACGCCCAACAAGAAAGTAGGCGAATTGATAGAAAGCACTTTTTGGTCCAAATCTCTTCCTGTCGTTTCCTCACATGGCGTTCTTCATATTGCCGAAACGAAACTGCCTAACGAAGACATGGAAGTCTTCATCAAGAAAATTCCTACGATTCCGAAGAAAGTATTTGCGGATTGTCAAGGTTTCTTTAAGAAAGCCAAGAAACAGAAGATGATTACGGAAATTACGCTAGAGGATATATTGGAAAAGGAATTGGGGAGAAGAACGTTGGATGCAACAGAAATGACAGCCTTGATACTTTGGTGGATTAAGTATGTTACAGCAAACGAAGTGTCAGAAAAAAAGAAGGCTAAGTTTCTCGATCTGGCTAAGCTTGTTTGGGAGAATAAAACCTCATCACTGGCCAAATTCAAGTATTTTCTGAATAGTAGTTTGATACCACCCACCAATGATTTCCCTGTCGATATGTTGCCATATTGTATAAGTAAGAACATTGGCTATGATTCACTCAAGAAACACTTTGGGTACATATGTATAGGATCTCATTAATACGGTATCATTTTACAAATATTGCAATACTTTTAACTAATTCACAAATCGTGTCTCAACAGGTACAAAGCACTTCCGTTTCTTGTTTGGGTAGAATTCATGCTCAAAACAAAATTGCAAGAACTCGAGTCTGATGTCACGTTCGCTGAAACTTTTCTTGACAATCTTAAACGTGCCTTTCAAAATATGTCCGAGTCCGATAAAAGAAGACTTTTACGGTTGTTGCACGATAAGAAAATAATTCCGACAAAAAATGGCTTACGCATTCCTGGCGAGGCATACTTCCCGTCAGTGACTCTTTTCCCCGATCTATCAACGGTCAAATTTCGAAACGATCGATCTATTCTCCCTTACTGTGACCTTTTCGGATTTCTCGGTGTTCGCCATCATGTCGAATTAGGGGTGTTATTAAAATACTTGGATGATCCAGAGAAGGACTTGGATCATATGGAATTAGTAAAATACTTAACTTCAATAGCCGATAAATTGAAGCCAGAGGAACTGAAGAAACTACAAAATGCTCAAATATGGCTACGTGAAGAAGAACAGGATACCGAAATCTCTGTGAAGAGAACCAGACATAAAATATCGGAATTGTATGCACCGACTTCGGAATTGAGAGGATTAGCACTACCGATTATGGAATGGAAAAAATCGTGGTTATTTAGGTCGAAAGAAGGTAAGTTTGGGAATGCCTAGAATTGTCTATAATTGACTCAAGACCAACATATTTTTACAAAACACCCGCAGCCAACTTCCTAATAAATCTTGGCCTCCGTACAAGTCCGACCTTGCAACACATACTCGCACTAGCCGCACCGCCAGCAAACCCCGAATTCCGACGCAAAGCCTTTGATTATTTTATCAAAAACAAGAAAATCTATTTGACAGAGTACAAGCCTTCTAAGATAACCATAGGATTTCTTCCCTGTGTTGGCAATATCAATGCTACCCCTTCCGACTGTTTCGTCAATCCTGAATGTCAAATCATGGGTTTTAAAGTTTTATCTCCCGATTATGTCAGCTATGCCGTAGATGTGGGTGTGAGTCAAGATCCACCAATATCAGAGCTTATTAGAAAGTTGTCCCGTTTACGACTCAAAAATGAATACGAGGCGAGGAAGGTGTTTGAATATCTTGCGAACCGGCAGGGAGGGCCTGAGTGGAAAGCGTTGCGTCTTGTTAATTTTATTCCGGTAAAAGGCCAGTATGTTAATCCAAACAGTTGCTTCTTGCAAAGTGAGGATGAGAGGTGAGGACTAAGCTAATGAGTGTTTAATGGCGCAGTCAGAAGGATACTTCAACTTTAAACTATCATCACTATTACCACATCAGCTACAGGGATTTTTTTACTTACATTGACTTCGGCCCAAGAGCGAATTCATTTCTCGAGTCATGTGGTGTCAAACTTTCACCTTCGGCAGTAGATCTTGCCAGGCTACTTGTAAATTCCTCAGCCGAATTTTGGACCAAGATTGGCCATGACGTAGAGAAGTACACAGCCGTTCTCCAAATTATAGCCACAAGTCTTCCTACGATAAGACGTGAGCCTGGACTGATCTCTGCGATGCAAGTGTCGCCCATTCTATTAGGAATCAAGAAAGTGTCTCCATCTGGGAAAAGTTATTGTCTAGAAAAGGCGAATGAAATTTTTTTGAATGATGACGAAACTATTTGGGAAATTTTTGGTGTTCCGACGTGCCCATTAGAGAATTTGCTTGAAAAGCTGTACGAGGTATGGAAATGATTAATTTAAAAAGGGACGAGAGTGTGATCATGTATCACAAGACATTAACCTGAGGGAAAGACAGTTACGAATACTTTAGATAGTGCTTATTATCGAAATTACAGATATTATCATAATATAGGTGGTTAGCGATGCGTTCTAATTTTGCTAGTACCTGTCTATCCTCATGTTTGGACTGTCTTAGAAATACTCTTATAATACTAATTCAACGTAACAGAGAATACATCACAAACTCAACAAATACATATTGTTTTTCTAATAGTACCTTGGTAGTCGCCGGCTAAGACAATGTGTAAACATCTCTTATAATTCGTTTGGCGAAGAAAGAACTTCTAAGAAGTCTGAAGAGCTCGAATCTTTAATCAAGGATCGCGCAGATTTTTTATACCTCGATCGCCCAGTTAACGACGTCAATTATAATGCTTTTTGGGTGAAGCAGACTCTCCGTGTCGCAGAGGTTCAAGCGATCCAAAAAACATATTACCTAACTACAAAGAGAGAAACTCAAATCAGACAAACCTCGTGTTACTTGAAACCGGAATTTACCTTAGTTACTGCTGGAAGCGAGCCTGATTACATAGCCCTCGCACATACTTTGAGTGAAGTTATTTATAAGAAGCCGAAAGAAATTGATGTGCTGTCTCTGGTCACTGTTTTGACGTCATCAGACGAAATGTTGAGACGGTTGTGTCAAGTTGATAGGATTACGAAACCGATTGTAGACGAACCGAAGATAGTTGACAGGCATATTGTAGACGAACAGAAGATGGTCGTCCAGAAAACGGTCGACAATGGGGCTCATCGGGAAATGGGCACATCAGCAGGGTGGGGGCAAATGCCGAGATTTATTACTGAAAGAACTACGACAGTCGCACAGATTTACGATCGGAGCTACATCAGTACCTTTGGGGTTGGCGATAATGATTCTACTATTGCCCCCTTCGAATCAACGTCGGAAAATTCCGTGACTTACCGTTCACGTGGGAGTATTCGCACGACCGAATCGATATCTGAAATACAACACGTAATTCACAATTTGCAAGCGAGGAGGCCAATGCCAATGACATTAGAGAATACTACGATATTGACGACTGATTTGCAGAAAGCTATACGGTCTTGCAAGTCTAATTCAAAAAGTGATGTTCATAGTCAAACGATTGAAGGATTGAAAAGTTATTGCGACGCTGTGCCTCGTAAGTAGAAGAACTGTTTGTTAACTACATATAAGATCAGATGTTAATGATTGGCAATTCCAATTCATTTACTTTCTCTAGGTAATTCCTTGAAATTTGTACGATCTTTCGCTAAAATGGATGTGTATGCGACAGCCAATATCACTCGAGCAGATCTTAAAAAGAAGAATCTCAACACATTTGTAAAGCTCCTCAAAGCGCTCCGTGAAGTGTTCGGACATGAATTGTCGTTGGACGCAATACACGTTTTCTATGATGCTGATGGAGAGTCAGACGCATTTAATCACAACCAAGCGTTATTCTTCAACCTGCATTATTTTGATGCCTCAATCAAGGCATTGAGTTATGATTTGATGGTGTATTGGTTCATTTCATTTTGTCATGTGTTGGCGCATAATTTTGAGAAGTCGCATAATTCGAAACATTCTGTGAGTTTTCTGTGAATTCAGTTGTTTGAGTTGATTGACTTTTATTGATAATTTTTTTTGCTATTGCAGTTTTATTTCTCATCGTATGCCAGGAATTACATCCCATCTCTTTACACTCAATTGCAGCAACTTGGTTTGATTTAACGTACGCAAGTAATGTATGTTATTCTACAACGTTAGTTTTGGGTATATAATCAATAAACATGAATTAATATTATGCTGTTAGCGGTTTAGCATTAACCTTATACGCGCCGCAAGTTAATGCATTCAGAAATGGGAATTCACAACAGATTCGCGTAATCTAGGATGAAAGGGCAAAACTACTTGCCAATATACCATTGTACTCATGATGATGTCTGGGAAACAGGCTTACAAACCCATCTTTCAACTAAAACCATTTATAACGCATATTATGTATTGAAGGAAATGGTCCAAGATCCGAGTATCAGAATCCCTCCAGCCATAATAAGTATAAAGAATTGGAGTAGTTAGTGAACAATAAGTCAAATGACTAGGTGTTACAAGAGGTAACATAGGCGAAACAGAAATTTTTAGGGCTTGAATGGATTGGTCGAGTTCGGTTATTTTGTCCTTAAATTATTTGCTTCACGTTAAATAGTTTGATCGACAAATCTTATTTGAAAAACTAGGGAGTTGTTGAAATCGTGCGGCAGATTTTATTTTGTATGTTGATATTATTATTATATGGGTTAATAGAAGTTATTCGTGTGCCATAAGTTACAGAGAATTCATCGAACGAAGGGTCGAAACATTGTTCGAGGAACGTTGGAATCGGCTATAAATAATAGTGTGCCATTGAGCGTTAAACGCGCTAATTATTAATTGTAGTTTCTCTTTTTTACCAATTGGAAAGAATAAGAAGGAAAAGAGACAACTAACACAAAAAAAGCAAAAAACTTTACAACTGCACTGTTGTATTTTTAAATTCCGTAAACGTGTCTATGATATTCGCACATATTGTCAATTATGCAATTTTCGGTCATAAAATTAATGTTGAGCGTAAATATGTAATTAAGGAATAATTTTACGTTAGCGTGTCTGAAAAGTTTTGACAGTATATTTATTTTTCAAAACTGTACATAATAATTTGGAAATAAATTATCACATTACTCTTCATCTATTTCTAGACAATGTTTCAGTTCTCATTGCCAATTCTCAAAGGCTCTACAGTACACCTCTTTTGGTATACTATTAGGCACTGCCTGAACAGTTCATGTACATGCAAGGTCTTCAACATTCTGAAACTTTTTCTTTTTTTATTATGGGAAACAGAAAATGTCACAGGAAGCCAGATATAAACTGAAAGAAAGATGTGGCATGAATTAGACTTCTTCTGTAAGTAACTATTAACTATAACTACAGTGCCTTGTGAAGTGATGCACTGTCATAACGAAGAATTACATGACATACAGAATCCATCTTGAACATACTTTACCGAGATCAAGTTGACTATGCAAAATATGTTCAATTATTTTTTAAAGGTCTCCCAACCTCCTCTGTAAAGCTTCACGAGAGGGCTTCTGAGTGGGAGCCATCTTTAATGCTCTCATCCCACATCCTCAAATGCTTCAATCCATCTGTAATTGTATGTTCAGACAGTGCATTGGGTCCCTTGTCAACCCTTAATTTTTGCTAAATTTCTTTTGCAATTTGGCCTTTTCCCAGCAAGCAAAGATGTAGCAACATTGGTATTCTCATAGAAATTTTCCATACGTTTTAGGGTACAATTTTTTGAAGCAGATTTCTCAATATAAAGTTATGCTAATAATAAATAACCATAATTGCAAGTTCAAAATACAGGCTAGAAAGGTGAATAAAACTATGGCTATTTTTCAAGTTTCTAACGTAATTTGTATACTCATTGAAGTATATAGATCGTTTATTGAGATAACATGATGCTTACTTCCTTCCACGTAAGTGAATTAACATATGAAGCTAACTTTTTTTTCTATACACTAACTTCGAGTTAACATAAATTAACACATATGCTAACTTCCTTTCTTGTGTACGTCAACGTGAGTGAAATTAACATATACGCTACTATTACTATACTAACATAATAATAATGTAAAATTGACATAGATATATACGTGTAGCTAACCTCTTTTCTTAACATATATCTTATAACTTACATCGTTAATATATTAGTTCAAAAAAACTGAGTCTAACGCTACGCTTGCCCCGCAATACATTATACGGCGTCATTGATGAGACATTTATAAAACCTTACGTGCTCATAGTATACAGTATAGTCAGCAGGATGCTTGGTTCGAAAAGCGGAAATTCACATTTGACAGTTGCGTTGAATTAGAAAACATCTGAGTAGCTAAAATTAACATTAAACATTAGTGTATTGCAAAATTTGTATTACCTTTACAAATATGGCACGCGATTTGTTTACTGTACATTTCCACGTGATCCGAACACTTTTGCTAGGGTACTTGTAGCACCACTGAGATCATTTCAAATAGCCAATTACAATGAGGGGGGTGCTTGTAATCTGATTCGCCAAATCGCGTGATTTAACTCATCCATAAAAAATTTTTTTCAATTCAGAAACTATCACGTCTGGACGCGTTTCTTGAAAGACTCTTCGACTTCGACATTTCTTATCATATCCTCTCAATTTTCATAAGGTTCTCGTGAAAAATATTCTTCAAAATGCTTCGAAAGAACTTAACAAATATAGGGAAATGAGTATAAAAGAATTGCGTGGGTCTTTGGGATGGGGTGCGCAGATGGCCTTCGGGGTCGTCTGACGTTCAAGGCTTTGGGCTGACCCGGCGAATGGTAGGACTAATCAAAAGCATTCTTATTATTATACGAGGGTAATGGGAATGGATTGCTTTCCTTTCTGTTTCTAATCCTTTACTTTTATCTCTCCCTTTTTTCTCCAATTTTTTCCACTTTTCGCGCGGGTCTTTGGGATTGGGGGCGCAGATGGCCTTCAAAAGCATTCTTTATACGAGGGTAATGATTACAGAATTGCAATAATAAAATACATGGTGTATCTATTAATGAATTACATCATTATCGAGTTACGGCTTTGTTTTTAAACTGTTTCTAGACTATATATATAGTGAATATGAGCTATAGAATGAAGAACTTATTATGTATGCTAGGATGAGGAGAGGTGATTTTAGAGAGCGGATGTCAGGTTGTGTAACGTGTCGGGTTAATTCCTGATTATTACATAAATGCTTTACTACTGTTACGGTCGGCAATTGTTTGGTTGGGAGAGCCAATTAAATCTTTAGCGTAAGGCGTGTTCACCGACCAGGGAGTTGGTAATTTTAGACTCAGCGGTTCACTGCAGTGATATCGTTTTGACTGAATGCTTTGTCTACAAGTGACCTAATTTCATTAATTTTCGTGCGCTTTTCTCACTCCCTATACGATGTACTTCCTGTACTCGTAT